CAAGCCACACATCTTCAGGCCTCCCCTGTAGGTTGGCAGAAGTGCCTGGTGATTTGGGTGCCAAGGTCCACCTGAACAACATGGACTGGGGTGGTGTGAGCCATCGAGGGGCAGCTGAGGCCTGGACGAGGATCCCTGGCTGCCTCTGGCCAGCATCTGAGGCTCCCTGTGGTGGCCAGTGCAGACCCCATCACTGTCTCAGCCTAATCACCTCTCCCTGCTTCCCAGCTGTGCCTCAGCGGGGAAGCAGACCCTAAAGCAAGGCAGCAGCAGTTCAGATGCCATCTGTGAAGATAGGAGTCCCCTGGTCACTCTGTTGTGGGAGACGCAGGGTCCCACGGCTAGGCCTACCAAGGCCCGGCCCACCGTGGCCCAGTCCACCACATCCAGACCCATTGTGGCCTGGGCCAGAACTTCTCAGGGGCCCTTCATGCCACCCCCGGAGGCCCCCAGAGGTGAGGACCTGCCCAGGAAGGGAGAAGGGAGAGGCCAGGAGGCTGTAAGCTGCCTGCTGGCCTCCTGGACTTGTTCAGCGGGCCCCTCCTTGCAGAACCGGTGTTGGCTGCCATCCTAGGCCTGGGTCTGGGCCTGGGCCTGCTGGTCCCCTTGGCTGCACTGCTGGTCCTGTACCTGTACCGAAGGGCCTGGATGCCACCTGGTACTCCCAAGCCCCCTGGTGAGCAGTGGTCGTGGCCTTTCCCCTCTTCTTAGGGGTGGTACATCCACAGTATAACCTCCCACTTTCCCCTCCTCCTCAGGGGGAGCAAGCTTCCGGAAGCCCATCCAAGAGGAGCAGGCTGATGCACACTGTACCCTGGCCAAGATCTGAGCAGCGTGGAGGGCTTCGTGGGCAGGGTACCCCTGGTGCAGGCCGCCTACCTGTGTCCTCTGCGCCGTTCTAGGTGCTGGGCTGGCTCTGGGTGTTTCTATGTATGTTGTGCATACTACCCACCCAGATGGTGCTCCAATAAACTTGTCGGTGACCTCTGCCCTCACCCTCCTTGGCTGGGGCAGGGTCTCAGATGAGGGCAGGATGGAGTGCGAGGGCCCTGACAATGGCAACACGAAAGTGCTAGGGACCCAGACCTAGCCCCTCTTGGGACCCAAGTGCCTTTGCTCCAGGGAGACTCTAAAACTTGGGCCACTTGGTAGGGGACCTAGCCAGGAGCTGAGTTCAGGGAGGGACCTGAGTGCCCTGGGCACTAGAGGCCCCCTCCTGACCTCTGCAATTCTTTGAGGGAACACAGTATTGTTCTTTCTCTTCAGCCCCCAGCCATACCCTGCTATGCCTGGTAAGGGGCAGCCCAAGACCCCTTGAGCCCCATCCTGGGAGTCCCTGGTGTGACAGCCACTGTCCCATGTCCTTGTATGTCAGAGCGTTCCAAAAATCAGCCATTCTGGAAAATAAGAGGCTTCTGCTTAAGACCAAATTTTTGTGTTTTTTTTTTTGAAACAGGGTCTTCACTGTGTAGTTTCGGCTGGCCTTGAGCTCACTTTGTAGTCTAGGCTGGCCTTAAACTCATGGCAATCCTCCTGCCTCAGCCTCTTGAGTGCTGGGATTGTAGCCAAACTTTGTCCCTTGAGCCTGAAGGTGTGAACAAGTGTCCACAGTCCTGAGGCAGGAACCCAGGTGTCCACCAGCAGCACACTGAACAAGTCATCTATGGCAAGTTAAAGTAGCCAGGGACAAAGAAGGTGTGACCCCACTCTGAAGCCCCAGGGTTCCAGAGCTGCCCTGGGCCAGATGGGGCCCCACAGCAGCTTGGAGTCAGGGAGTGCTGTCAGGATGGTTGCCTGGCAGAACCCATGCAGGAAGCACTATCCATTTGGAAGTGGTCAACAGGTGTGGGACCAACAAGGCCAGCAAACCACAGGCCACAAGCAGCACCAGGTCTTCAACGTGTGTCGTGTGTCAGGGGCTGTCACAGTTAGAAACACCTGGGTGCTGGGTGGTCCTTCACTCAGCTGCACTGTGAGGGCCCTTCAGAACCTCAGGCCTGGTGGTCTCTTGTTACCTGCCGCCCAAGACACTGGCATGGGGTTGCCAGATGACCTGTCCCTGATCCTGGCTGCCCAGATACCTTCTTCCACGGCTTGGCTTTCTCTGACTCGCTCCCCCATCCTCTCCTGTAACAGCCTCAGGCCTCCTCCCCTCAAGGGAAGCAGCCATCCTGGGTCTGTCCAGCACTCCTTGTTGGGCTCGGAGAAGGGGGCCAGAGCACACCAAGCCAGCAGGACAATTCTAGTGGGCACCCAGAGGCGGCAGGGGTGGGGGCGGGGGAGGGAGGTGGGCGGAGGGGCTGCGATGGCCCAGGGTGGCGGTGCCCAGGTCCTGGAGGGTGTGTGTGAGGGCGACTTCGGGCTGGCTGAGACCAGGAGGGGCTGTCCCCATTTCCTGCACAGCTTCCCCGGCTCCTCAACAGTTGGTGAGGCTGAGGGCTAGGGTCTCCAGACTGAAGGGTGAGCGCTTCATCCCACCGCTCCATCAGGGCAGAAGTCCTTAAAAGCCCCGAGGAAGGTAAGGGCGTCGGGAGCTAGAAGCGTCCAAGAGGCGGGCCTGGGCGGGGCCTGGGCGGGGCCGCGCTGCTAAACCCCCCGGCGCGCGCTCCCGGCCTCGGCGCCAATGGGTCCTCGGGCGGCCCTGAGCGGGCTCGCGCTGCTCAGCGCGCTCAGCCTTGGTCCGTGCCTTTCCAAGGGGCCCTGTGGCCCAGGCCGCTTCCCGAACGGAACAGGGACCCACTTGAGGTGCTGCAGCCTGAGCGCCCCGCGCGAGGCGGGTGAGTGGAGCTGAGGATGGGTGGGCACTGGGTGGCGCTGCCTGGTGGACAAAGTGGGATCCCAGAGGGAGGCAGAAGTACCGCCGGGCCTGGAGGAGGAGGGGGAGACTCCCCAAGAGGGGCCTGGGGTCTGGCTGCTTTGTGCCCCCAGCCCAGCTTGGGATCCCCAGCACCCCTTCTGCCTTTGACCCACAGCCATGGTGAGGGGCCCCCTGGGGAGGAAGATCCTAAGAAACTGCCGTCTGCCACCTGCAGAGCCTCTGAGGTGTCTCTGGGGCTGGGAGAGGGCTTGTACAGGAGTGGAAGGGCTTGTGGGCCCCAGGTCCAGAGTCCCTGTCCAGCAAGTACATGTGACAAGGTACCCACTCTGGGAGCAGCTCAGCAGCAGGGATGGCCAGGCCAGGCCAGGCAGAGAGGGGCTGGACCAAGGTCAGAGGGGATCCAGGGCAGGGCGGGGCCTGCCTAGCTCCTGAGCAACTGGCCTGTGCCCTCCCAGGCAAGACCTATGCTGTAAGGGACTGTGAATGTGTCCAGCCGGAGTACCACTGTGGCGACCCTGAGTGCCAGAGCTGCAAATACCACCCTTGCCCACCTGGCACGGAGGCACAGCCTGAAGGTGAGGGCTTCAGATGAACTCAGCAGACCAGGGCATTGACTCAGAGCCCAGCTAGAGCTCCAGGACTGCCACATGTCCTGTAGGCAGGGACATCAGCCCCCTCCGGTGCCTGTGGTTGTTCCACTGTGCAGAATCCCTTCTTAGTCTGGACTTTTCTTGCTGTGAAAGTGGGGGTTGGGGGCAGGGCTTACTACTTTCTGACCCCCAATCTACAATCCAGGCCTTACCACCTCCCCAGCCCATCAGCTCAGGGATGGGTGGATGTGCCAGCCCTGGAATGGGCATCATGGATTCTGAGTAGCCAAGTTGCCAGTTCTGTGGGCATTGGAGAGGCAGATGACCCTTCTTCACTCACTCCAGCAACCCCTCGGCCTGTCTGTTTGCCCCCAGGGAAGCTCACATATGGTTTCACGTGTGTCAGCTGTGCTGTGGGGACCTTCTCCCAGGACCATCAGGGCCGCTGCAAACCTTGGGCAGAGTGAGTCCCAAGTGGCATATCTGGGCGGCCCAGTCTCATATGAGGGAACCCTCCTGTCCCTCCCCTGGGGCTGCTCCAAGCGCCAGAGGTGACGCATTCTCTCTGTGTCCCAGCTGTGGCCGGTTTGGATTTCTCACCAAGTTCCCTGGAAATAAGACCCACAATGCAGTGTGCCTCCCAGGACCACTGCCCACTGAGCCACACAGCTGGATGAGCACTGTCCTTCTGGCTGTGGCCTCCTGCATCCTTGTTCTTGCCACCATCCAACTGGGCCTGCACCTCTGGCAACTGAGGCGGCAGCCCGTGTGGCCCCAAGGTCAGTTGTGTCCTGATGAGGAGGGAGGGGGACCCAGGCCAGGTGCTGATCACAGCCCCTTACAGAGACCCAGCCACTCCTGGAGGGGCTGCCACCACCTGCTGAGGACACCTGCAGCTGCCAGTTCCCAGAGGAAGAGCGGGGAGAGCGGCTGGAGGAGAAGGGACGGCCAGGGGACCAGTGGGTGTGAGCCTGGTCATCCCCAGCAGCAGCTGCACCAGAGCCAGGCCCTCCGGGCTCGTCCAGGCCAGTCTCGAGCAAGGCCTCTGCTCTGGGCCCGGCCCTGCTCCCTGCAGTGGTGGAAGTGGGTGGAGGATGGTGTCACTGCTGAGACCCCAGCTACACAGAAGGGGAGCCATGGCGGGGCTCTGTGGCAGAGACAGTGCCAAAGTTGCTCTCCCTAACAGTGTGGCCCTCTGGGCCATACCTGGCTGCAGCCCTGTTCTTAATAAACACTTGCACAGTGATGGAGTGAACATGTATGGGGGGCAGGAGTAAGGGCAGGGAGGAAGGGACCTCGTCTACCCAAGCCCAGGTCCCCTCCCTGTGATACAGAGGTTCCGGGCCTGGATACAAGCACAGGGTAAGGCCATGGGCTCGAGCGGCTTCCTGGCGGCGGGTAGGAGGGGTGGGTCCATGCTGGCTACCTCGCCTCTTGGTTTCCCATCCAACTCCCGCCCCGGCTGCCTGCCTGTGCTGGGTAGCTGTGCCCACGGCCCCACTATACAGCCATAGAGGCTGGTTTTGGGGTATACCTAGGGTGTCCACCTTGTTTCACTCTGCCGCCAACCCAGGGCCTGGCAGGTGTCCACCCTAGCACTCTCCGGAGTGAAGTTGCCCCCACTCCTCCCCATGCAGTGCTCTGGGGCTCCGCTCCAGGTCCCGCCCAGCCCAGGTGCTCCTGGAGAAATCTGATAGCAAGATCTTGGTGTAGCCGTTCAGGAAGAGGCAGGCCCAGGGCGGCCAGTCTCAGCAAGGCCCTTGAAGTCTCCACGTGTCTGGCATAGCCCCCTGGGATGACCCAGCCCCCTGCCATGAGGACCTTTGGGTCTGACCTGCTTTTAACTCCCATCAGCTCCTGATGGCATGGGCATTGGTGGCCTAGTCTTCAGTAGGCAGATGGAGGGGAGATCACTGTCCTGGGGGTGGCAGTCACAGTCCCCAGCATAGACTCAGGAGAATGGAGGAGGCTCATCTAATCCGATGGGGGTGGAGGACACTGGGACCCAGAACATGAGAAGCCTAGGGACCACAGGGACACCTGGACACATGGCAGACAGTGAATACCCGCCTGGCAAGTGCTCCAGAGTTGCCATGGAGCCTTCTCATGGTGGGGCTGAGGAGTCAGGCCTACATTGCCAGCCGGAAGGGGCTTGAGCCACCCTTTCCCCACAGGATACCACAGGGGAGTCCCCAGGAAACACTGAGGCTGGGCTGACGGTGCTGGAAAGTCCTCAGGATGTCACAGTGCGGCAGCTGGTGACCAGAGCTGTTGGGGGATTCCGCAGGCAGCCTGGCACCTCTGTGCCCTGGGTCTACCCAGCTCTTACCCCACAGATCCCCCTGCTTGCCAGCTAGGTAGGGCCCTGAGACAAAGGCTAGGCTGGAGGGCAACTGGGTGTGATGAGGTTCCCAGGGATGGCCCAGGGGTCCCGGAGTGGGGAAGGGGCTGCTGCCTTTGCAGTGTCCAGCCAGAGCCACCACTTCTGAGGAGCAGCCTGCACTCTCCTGCACGTCCTGGCTGCTAGGGGCACTGCCGGTGACACTGCGCAGCCTAGGTCAGTTCAGGTTTCACAGCAGCCTCTGGGAGCCCCCACCCCCAGCAGCTCCTCCGGAAACCACACCCCCATCGGTGTTCTGCCTGAGATAAGGACCTAAAGGCCACGTCCTCCCAGAAGTGCTTCCGGCCACAGCTGAATGCCCACCCAGCCCCTACCCTCATCCGGCTGGAAAGGCCCCCTCCCTTCATATGATCTACATGAGGTCAGAGGGAACCCTTTCCAGACCCAACTGGATACCCCCATCAGGAGATCTGCAGAGGACCCTTGAGGGCAGATGGACCCTCCCTTGGCCTCAGCTGTTGGGCTGTGTTCCCAAGTAGGTGACTAGCTGTCACTCCTGTCCCCTTTGCCCACTGACCTCTGAGGACAGAGCAGGGCCTTACTCTTGAGAGGCTGCTCTTTTATTACCATGACCTAGTGAGGAGCAACTATGTGGGTGGGGCAGGAGGCAGACCTGTCTCATCTTCCCAGAGGCTCCAGGGATGGGGCCTCTCCAGAGATGGCAGCTGGGGATGGGATGTTGTTACCCCTCTTCTTGAAGATACTTTTCTAGGGGAGAGGGACCAGGGATGTGTGGAGCCCCGTGGCTCTTTGGCTGAAAGCATGGTGCTCGGCAGGCCTCAGACCCTGTATAATGGGGCACAGTGCTGGGCCTGGTCATGTTCTGCGGGTTGACTCACAGAGGTGCAGGGCTGAGGCAGCCTGACTCCCATTCCTTCTGCTAGTGGACACCACTTGAATCCCCAACCCATCAGGCAATGCTTGGATTTAGCCCTGGAAGAGGTTGAAAGGCAGGAGGAGGAAAGGGAGGTGCTAGGAAAATGAAGGAAGGGGACAAGGACCAGGGGAGAAACGAGCACACTGAGCCCCAGCAGCCCTTTTTTCACCTTGAGTGCTCCACAGTGTGAGCCTGGCCTTGCTGCCATGCCACTGCCCGTTCCTCAGGCCGTAACCCACCATGTCACTCAAGTGAATGTTGGAGAACATCCCACACTGCCGAGTGCCCGGGCCCAGCCCAGCCTTCCCCTCCCTGGGCTCCATGCCAGCCACCTTTCTTGGAGCCTGTATGTGGGCTAAGAGGGGTAAAGGGTGATCCAGAAGGGGTCGGGTTGCGGGTAAGCAGAGAGGATCACCTGAACTTTTATTGATGTGCTAGCTCCTGGGGCTGCCAGGTATGTGGGTGCAGCAGACTCAGTCCAGGTTTTGGGGGTACTGGGCTGGGTGGGTTCTAAGCACAGGGTAGGCCACTGCCATGGGGCATTTCTCATCACATCTTGATGCAGAGGTGCTTTGTCCCCAGAGCAGCAAGGAAAGCCTGGACACTTCTGGTGACACCTTGATGCCCCTGAAGTGGGGGCCACAGCCCCATGTGGTATGTCGAAAGTGCTGGGGATGACTGGGCGTGGCATCATGAAAGAGTGTAAAGTTCTATGTGGCACAGAGGCCCAGGGTCTCAGGGTGGCAAAAGCAGAGGGTACTGAGGGTGACCCTGAGGTGACATGGCTGGGCAGGAGCCTTGGGTGTTGAACCTGATCCCAGGGGTGGGAATGGTCTGTACTCCTCCCTGCCTGAGTGGGGTACTGGGCAGGCAACAGGGGTGTCTCGAAAGGCTGTGTAGGGGGTACCCATGGCCCACCCAGGGGCACTGGGACCATTGGCTCTGAACCTCAGTCCCCTCTTTGTCCATGCCCTCTTTGTGGCACCAGCCACTATGGTGGATGGCGCCCTCTCATGGTGCCAGGTGCTCACATTCTGAAAATGGGGCCACCCTGTCAAACCTGACTTCTTCCTAGAACTAACAGCAGGATGGGGTTTGCCAGCTCCTCCCAGGTGGGGTGGATGGGGTCTGGTGTCAGGGACTAGTGGAAGGGTGGCCAAGGCAGGAGGAATTTTCCGCTTGGCCCGCAGCCGCTGGGGTGGGCAGCTGGGAGCCAGGGCAGGGGCAGTCAAGGCGCAAGAGGGTGCAGGGCCACTCGTGGGAAAGTCCTAAGTCCTAAGTGCGGGGGTGGGGGGGGCCGCTCAGCAAACCTTCCAGGGACCATTCTGTCCTGATCGCGCGGCCACTCCCACCAAAGTTCGCAGGAAAGGGACCCTGGGCTGGAGAGAGGTCGCGTCTGATAGGCTGGACAGGGGGGCACTCCCTGAGGCGCAAGCGAGAGGGCCCCCCAAGCCTACGGGGCGAGAGGCCGAGGACACGGGGTGGGGCGCCCGGGACCCGGAAGCCGCTCTGCTTCCCAGCATCTTGCCCTGTTAAGGTCTGCGTAGGGGCCAGTGAAGCCTGGGCCCGGGGCACGGCGGAGGACGCGTTATTACAAATTAGTCTTTATGGTCCGGGAGACACTGTCGCTAGGAGCCCCGATGGCCCGCGCACCGCCGCTCCGCGCGCGGCTCCCCGGAGGCGGCGCCTGGCGGCCGGGGGCGGAAACAAGCGTGTGAGAGGGGCGCCTGTGGGCTGGGCAGTAAGCCGGGGGCCCGGGGGCGCAGGCGCAGGCGCGGGTCTGCCTCCCCGTTGTGCAGGAGTGCGAAGCGGCGCTGTGAGCGCAGGGGCAGCATCTTCTGGCCGCGAAGGCTCTTCTGGGAGGTCTCGAGCGCCAAGTCTGGAGACGGGGAGAGAGTGGGCTCGGGGGAGGAGGAGCGGGAGAGGAGGGGGGAAGTAGGGGGAGGGGGATGGAGGGGAAG